CACCCATCTTAGGAATCAGCAGGCTGCCTTGTGCCAGGCCTTGCAGCTAGGGCATCTGGCCCCAAGCCAGGAAGGACTCAGAAAGATGAAATGTGGGAGGTCAGAGGGGCAGGGAGCCTGTGTTCCATCCTAGTAATGGGGAAACAGGCCAAGAGCCGTTAGATGATGGGCTCGCCCCAAAAAGATCCTACTGGCTGTAGGCCTCCATTCTAGAGCCTTCTGATGAATCTTTCTCCAAGACCAATGAACGTGACACAAACAGGGAGCAAGAGGTCTCTGACTTGTAAGGAGACCCTTTGCACAAGTTGCTCTTTGGGTTTGCAAGCTTCCTTCTGCCTGCGACTCCTGTTTTAGTTTATCAAGTCTGGAGTCTTTTGGGGAGCTGGATGCCAGGTGGGTGGTGGTGGGAGCTGTAGGAAATTTGGTGAGAGCAGATTCCCAGGTGGAGGAGGGGAGGGCCCATAGAGGCAAGGACCCGGGCCAGGGAAGAGGCTCTGATCAGATGCTACAGCAGGCATTACAGAATAAGGGCATTTAGCCCTTTGCCATGGAACCATCCCCATTTGACAGATGGGGGAAGTTGAGGCTAAGACAGGGCAGTGATTTGCATAGAGCACTTTGTCCAGGGTCTCTATGGCATAGAAATGAGACATCTGAATCTCAGATCATGGCTCTTTCTACTGCACTAAGAGTAGATCCAGGGGTCTGGGCATGGACTTGGTGCCTCATAGGGGCAGGAGAGGAAGGTGTCCATTACTGTGTGTGTCCATTACTGACCCTCTCCAACGCTGGCTGCTCCAGGCCTCACTGAGGGGCAGAAGAGAGGAGAGATTTCTGCCTATGGGCATACACAGAGGAGAGGAGGGATGGTCATGGGGTGTGTCCCTGACAGGCTGGGCTCTGGACAGTTTGGGACTCCCAGGGGACAACACAGCCCTGCCCTTCCCAGGGAAAGTCCTGCTATCCCTGCCAGGGTTGGGGAAAGAATCTATTTATCCTGGAAGTCAAAGGGGGCATTGTGGGGAGGGGAAGGGGCAGGGCCTCATGGCTGGTCATGCAGAGCTGGGGTCCACATCCTCAATGTGAGACCTTGCATATGTATTGTACCCACCTTATAAGGAGGAGGGGGTAGGTTCAGTGTCAGAAAAATGCCTAAGAAGCAGCAGGCGCTTAATAATTTCCTGTTCTGATGCCAAGGTGAGGCCAGCCTGTGTCCCTCCTTCAGGGGAAGGGTGACTCAAGTCCAAAGAGCAGAGCAGAGGTAGAAGATAGGGTGGGCTATGAGCACAGACAGCCTGCTACCTGCCAGCTGTTACCTGGGCAAGTTGTTGAACTTCCCTGTGCTCCATTTCCCAATCTGAGAAATGGGCATAATAGAGTTGGTGAGAGGTCCCATCAGGGGCTAAGAGCATATCTGTAGAGCTACTGGCAGGGTCCTAGCTTAGATACAGGTGAATAGCAATAGTGATAAGTACTTATTAGCAGTAAGCCCAGTATCGGCTGGACTCTGCCAGCTAACCAATCATTCAATAAACAAGCTCTGAAACATAGGGCTCTAAGCAGGGTCCCACACCCCAAGTAGCTCCATAGCCTCCCAGGGGTTCAGAAGCTCCAGGTGTTCAGAAGACCCCTTCTTAGTGGGGTATTCTTGGGGGTTGAGTCTAGGTGGCTCTGGGAAGTTGTTTTGGTGGCTCCATAATATGGAGCTTGGGGGTGCTGGGACGCTGTTTAGAGCCCTATGGCGCCTGGGATCTGGGAGAGCTGCCAGAGACTGAGGCTGAGGGTGGAGCCTGGATGGCAAGGCTCCTGCCCCAAATATGGCTGTGGGGAGGCCACAGCTGCTCAGACCAGACAGGCCCTTAGTCTCTTAGCAAACAGCACCACTCCATGCCTCTCCTCCAGCTTTGCACAGTGTCCACAGCCAGGCCTTTGCCTCCAGTCTGGGTCATCAGGGCCCTCACCTGGCCCCGCCATTCCCTTCCTGGGTGACCTCACAGGGTCTCCCACCCTCTTTGAGCTTCTACTTTTTCATGCACAAGAACTGTGACATCCACCCCGGGACTTGCAGAGGGTTGGGGCTCTAAGAATCACCATCTGTGGTGCTGGGGCTCTGGCTGGGGCTAGGTGGTAGGTAACTGCTCCTCCACACACACACACACACACACACACACGCGCACGCACGCACGCATGCACGCACGGAGGGGCTAGGCAGACCACATCTAGCCCTGCTGTGTGCCCAGCCCTGGTGGAATTGAGCAAAACTGCCCCCTAGAAGTCAGACCTCAGTACCAGGTATGTGGCCCCAGGTCATCTTCAGATTAACACTATGGGGAGATGCCATCCCCATTCATCAGGTGAGCAAATTAAGGCAGGGCTGCAGCTATTCCACACCGGGGAGTGTCATAGGTGGGTGTCCTGGGCAGAAATAATTCACATGACTTGGCAGTGGTGGGGCAGAAGGAGACCTGAGAAGAAAGGGGGGGAGGGTGGACAGTGGGGGGAGCAGGAGGAACAGCCTGGCTGACCTTTCCACAGAATGCTTTGTGGGGGTCCATTCCTGAGTGTGTGTGAAGAGTACAGTCTCTGAGCATCCCCCTCAGACCTCATCAGTCCAAATGGCTGGAGTAGGTGACAGGCAGCCTGGTGTCCCTCTAGGAGGGAGTGGCAGGCAGTAGGAGGCCTTGGAACAAGTCATCAGGAAACCAGTCATCTCGTGCCATAGGGTGTGCGGTGTGACAGCGGGCACACCTTCTCTAGCCCTCTGCTTGCCTGGTGACACAGTGTGCTGGGGCTGAGCATGGGTGTGCTGATAGCCCACACCTCTAACCATGCAACACAAGGATCCCAGGCCTGACCAGGCCTCTGCATCCTCTCTCCTCAGGATGCCCACCGCAACCACCCAATGAGGAGGGGGCCGAAGCCCTGGCATGAAGCTCCCCCAAGCAGCCTGGTGCCTGCCCCTGCTGCCCAGGAGGTTCCCCAGCCTGCTGGAGGCTCCAGACTTCCCCGCTGCGGAGTACCAGACCCGCCCGATGGGCTGAGTGCCCGCAACCGGCAAAAGCGGTTTGTGCTATCAGGCGGGCGCTGGGAAAAGACGGACCTTACCTACAGGTAGGGCCCATGGCCATGAGCAGACTCATGAGTGTGTCTGTGTATGTGCCTGTCACCCTCATACCTGCTTCTTGAGACACATGCCAGGGCTAGATCTCCATGGTTAACAGGCCTGTGTGTCCACTGACCCCTGAGCCAGTCATGGACCAACACCCCTGAGCCCCAACTTAGATGCACACATAGCACCCACACACATACCCATGCCCTCCTATGGCAGAGGGGTAGTGCCTCTGTCAGAACACACCTGGTGATCCCGTAGACATGCTGGGGCACAGTCTTCAGTCCCTCAGGCAGCTTCTATGGGTACCTACTAAGGGCCAGGCCTGTGACTCCATGGTGAAGACAGCCATGACCCATCCTCTTGGGAAGCTGGACATTAACTACATCATTGTTCAGATCTAGCATCACAATTTGGGATCCATACAGGTGGGAAACAGTGGTGAGCAGGACAGGAAATAGCTCAAGTAACCTGAGGCCCCTGGGAGTGATGCAGAAGCCGAGACTTGCACATCCTGTGGGTGGAGACTCAGCTTGGGAGAGAAGACCCATGAAGACCGGTGTGGTGTCATCAGGCATTGGAGCTGAGACTGCTGGGGGCCTCAGAAATGTGCTGGGTGGGGAACTGGGAACCGAGACGGGGCAGTTCAAGGGGTTAAGGACTCCCCACAGTGAATGGTACAGTCAGGTCTAGAAGGTGGGTCTCAGGGCTCCTGGTCCTGTGTTCTTCCTTCTGAATGCAGACACCTATGTGTACCTAAGGACACAAACCCATACAAAGATGTGCCCATGTGGCAAAAGGACCAGTGCACTACACCTGAGGTTCACCTGGCCTGTGTCCCATGTGCATATACCCCTACTGAGCATCCAAGGGCAACTCCTGGCCCAAAAGCCATCAGGGGCTGACCCTGCCCTGAGTGAGGTCCAGGCCTCTCCTCCTCCCCCCAGGATCCTTCGGTTCCCATGGCAGCTGGTGCGGGAGCAGGTGCGGCAGACGGTGGCAGAGGCCCTACAGGTGTGGAGCGAGGTAACACCACTCACCTTCACTGAGGTGCATGACGGCCATGCTGACATCATGATTGACTTCACCAGGTGAACCAGCAGCCTGGGACCCCTCTGGGAACAAGCCCCAGCTGTCAACAGCCACTAACTCTGCCCCCACCCACCTGCAGGTACTGGCATGGGGACAACCTGCCATTTGATGGACCTGGGGGCATCCTGGCCCATGCCTTCTTCCCCAAGACCCACCGAGAAGGGGATGTCCACTTCGACTATGATGAGACCTGGACTATTGGGGACAACCAGGGTATGGGCTGGGTACCAATTTTCCAGATGGGGCAACTAAAGATCATAGAGAATGGGGACTTGCCAAGTTCCTTGAGCTGGGGTCTGGAGCTTGGGTATTTTACTGCAGGAGGCTCGGGGATTGCTGGGCTATCTCCTTTTTCCAGGTACAGACCTCCTGCAGGTGGCAGCCCATGAATTTGGCCATGTGCTCGGGCTACAGCACACCACGGCTGCTAAGGCCCTTATGTCCCCTTTCTACACCTTCCGCTACCCGCTAAGCCTCAGCCCAGATGACCGAAGGGGCATTCAGCACCTGTATGGCCGGCCCCGGCCAGGGGCCACCTCTAGGCCTCCAGCCCTGGGCCCCCAGGCTGGAGTGGACACCAACGAGATTGCACCGCTGGAGGTGAGGCACAGGAGGGTGGGAAGACAGGAGGTGAGGCCCTGCCCCAGCTACCCTCACCTCGCTGGCCTCTGTGGCTCCAATGTGGGCTCTTTTCTGGCCCTCTCCTCCACCTCCCTTGCCCCAGCCGGAAGCTCCACCAGATGCCTGTGAGATCTCCTTTGACGCGGTCTCCACCATCCGTGGGGAGCTCTTCTTCTTCAAGGCGGGCTTTGTGTGGCGACTGCGTGGGGGCCGGCTGCAGCCTGGCTACCCTGCACTGGCCTCTCGCCACTGGCAGGGACTCCCCAGCCCCGTCGATTCAGCCTTCGAGGATGCCCAGGGCCACATCTGGTTCTTCAAAGGTGAGTGGTGGCTGGGGGTCATGCTCCGATTTTCAGGAGCCAGGAATGTCATTGTCTAGGGTAGGGACAGACAGACAAATATGATGGGCAGGTAGAGGGGGCCCTGAAGCCTCAGGGCCAAGGGAGAACAAGGCTCCCTCCTCTGGGCACAGCTGAGAGACTTCTGAAGGCAATGGCTCTCAAGGTGGGAGTAGACTAGAAAGTACTGGACAGTGGGCCATGCATTGGCCTCCAGCTCAGAGGTAGTGAAGTGACTGACCTGAGGAAATAGCTTGGAAAAAGCAAAGCAGGGATTTGATTTAGGTCTGGTGACCCTAAAGCCTGTGCTGTTAACTTACAACTGGCAGAGAGGAGAGCCTGGAACATTCCAGGTGGCAGGGACTTCATAAACAAAGGCCCAGCCAGGACCTGCTGTGGCAGGGCCCAGGGCACAGCCCCAGGGGGTGGTGAGCAGTCAAATGCCAGGGGAAGGAATGGGAGCCCACGCACCTCTCTGCTGCTTAGAATAATCTTTCTACGTGGTACCTCCCAGGGCCTGCACTGCTCCAGCTTATCCCTGTTGGCTCCAACTTCATCTGGGATGGGGGTGCCAAGCAGGACAAGGAAACTGAGGCTTGGAAAGTCCTGGTGGTGGTGGCAACTGGGCAGGTCATTGCAGCCTCCCCTCTCCACAGGTGCTCAGTACTGGGTGTATGATGGTGAGAAGCCAGTCCTGGGTCCCGCCTCCCTCTCTGAGCTGGGCCTGCCAGGGTCCCCGGTCCACGCAGCCTTGGTCTGGGGCCCTGAGAAGAACAAGATCTACTTCTTCCGAGGCGGAGACTACTGGCGCTTCCACCCCAGCACCCGCCGTGTGGACAGCCCTGTGCCCCGCCGGGCCACTGATTGGCGAGGGGTACCCACTGAGATTGACGCTGCCTTCCAGGATGCTGACGGTGCGTTAGTGACGGAACAGCTGGTGGAAGTGGTGTAGCAGTTGCACCATCTTCCATCCTGTGGTGGCTGGACATCAGCTCTACATCCCAGGCTCTTTGTCCAGCACCCTCCCCGTCCAGCTCCCTCCTTGTACCAGGGCAGTGTTATACTTCCCATGTTGCAGATGAGGAGATTGAGGCCCAGAGAGGTGCAATGACTTGCCCAGGTCCCTGTCATGGCTGGTAAAATAATAACCACTGCACACAGGATTGACAATGCTCCAGGCACCTTAGCTCCCTACATGTCTCATGCAATTCTCAGACGTAGCACTTGTTATGACCCCAGTTTCCAGAAGAGCAAACAGAGAGCCAGGTGATGAGGTCCCTAGGCAGGGCCACCCCAGTGGATAGTGGGTAGCCAGGACCGCCCACCCCAGGCAGTCCCTGCTGAGCCACCCAGTCTCCTACAATCTCCAAGGACTGGATTGGGGACTCACAGTCCAGTGCACTCTCCTGTGCCCCCTCCCCCTTTGCTTCTGTGCTTTCCCACATTGGGACCTGCTGGGGAAACTGTCCTGTGGTGGTCTCAGGCTCTGGGGCTCTAGGTTGCCTGTATCACCCACCATCACTCAAGATACCCATCTGTATCTGGCTGGTGAGTGTGAGAATAGAGTGATGTGGGAATATGAGGGGAGTAGGACTTGCTTTCCTGAGATGTAGAAACTGGGCCTCTGAGGCTTCCAGCATCTGTCAGGCTGGGACGTAGCCTTGTCCAGACTCTGGGCAGGACTCCTCCAAAGGAAAGGAGGTTCTAGAAGGGCCACTCTAAGGCCTGCAGGTGTCAAGGAACTCAGCAGTGGCCAAGGTCTGCCCACCCGGACCTCCCCCTGTGCCCATCCCTGAGCACAGCCTGATGGGCAGGTGTGAACACGGCCCAGTGTCCACTTGCCCAGGCCTGACCATCTTCTCTCCTCAGGTTATGCCTACTTCCTGCGTGGCCGCCTCTACTGGAAGTTTGACCCAGTGAAGGTGAAGGCCCTGGAGGGCTTTCCCCGCCTCGTGGGCCCCGACTTCTTTGGCTGTACAGAGCCTGCCAACACTTTCCGTTAAGCACTGCTTGGATGCCCTCAGGGCCCCTCATCCCTGCCAGGCCACTGACACTGCCTAGAGACCCATGGCCATCTTCGTGGCTGTGAGCACCAGGCAAAGGACAGAGCCTGTGACTCCTCAGTGGGGTGGGGTTGGGGGTGCTCCCACTATGACAAGTGCAGGGAGGGCCACGCTGGTCGTGGTCACCTGCCAGCAACTGTCTCAGACTGAGCAGGGAGGCTTTGGCATTAAGGGTGAGGGTGGTCTTGGAGCGGTTCCGACTTACCTGTGCAGGTAACGGTCAAATTCGGCTGCCCTTGCTCTCCATCCTTGTCCCTCAGGAAAGGACCTCAGCAGGGCTTGAGGAGCCGGAGCCGTTGCTCTGTCTCTGCCGTGACGTTCCTGCAGGGTGCTGGCACATGGGTCCCAGGGCCACATGGCCTTCTGTCGTTCCCTGAGAAGTCAGTTCTGGGTAGGTGCTTGGAACTGGCTGCCTTCCGGTGGGTGATCCTGGAGATCTGTTCCCCAAGATCCAGGCCATAAGGTCTAAGAGTCATCTGAGAAGAGGGGTGCTTCCTGCTGGAGACCCAGGGCCCTGGAGGCCCCAACATACCTCAATCCTGTCACGGGCCGGATCCTCTCCAGCCCTCATCCCAGCACTGAGACCCTCCAAAGCCATGTAAATGTGTGTACAGTGTGTACAAAGCCTTTTCTTTTTTTGTTTTGTTTACTGAGAACTGTCATTAAACACAGTCATTTTCTACCTGCCTGCCTGGAGTCTCTCTGTGACTGCGAAGCTAGGATGGGAAAAGAGCTGTGCCAGGGAAGTGAGAGGCCTGGCTTGGGACCTGCTCTGCCCTTGGAGCCAGGGTAGCAGTCTACCCCACCCCCAAGTCTCTGGTCTTTGGGGCTGGGTTCATTCCTACATCTTGGCTCACTAGATGCCTGTAGCAGCTTCGTAGTTGGTTCCCTGCATCCCCCTCAGGACATCCTCCACTAAGCGATGGTCACTTTATCTGATCTTGCCATGCTCCAGCCCCAATCCCACTGTTTTCAGGATACAGAACAAAACTCATGTTTACCACAGATGACCCTTCCGAACAAGTGTCTCCTTGCCTGCTACCTAGCTCATGTGTATCTCCTTCATAGTAACACCTATCACAGCTGCAATTTTTATTTGACTATTCCATATGAAATTGTCAGCAGTGAGCCGTTTTTGACCTACTGGATACATGGATGCTTTCATTAATGTCAGTCCCCACTCCAAGCTATAAGCACCACATGGCATGTTGTCCATACAAAGTGCAGAGTTAAAGAAGGATTGGAGTAGGTTCCCTCCCTTGCAGTACTCATCTGATGCACCAGCCAAACCAAATACCACCTAGACTGGAATCCTGCCAAGCTGGGGGAGTCTTGACCCATGCTAACATCACCCTGTGTTGTCATTCTGCCATTCCCACAGCCGCAGGAACAGCTGTGGGCCCAGATTTGGGGTATATGTCCCTAGGAGTCCTCTTATCAGCTCAGCTGCATTGTGTTTTCCGGGTGAGGAAACTGAGGCACACTACTTCTGGCCTCCTCCCAGCCTGCAGGCCTCACTTTGTTTCTCTTCCATTGGGCTGAGTTCCAGTCCCAGCAGTAAGACTGGGAGAGCCACCGCCTGAGTCAGGGCTTCGGTTGCTATTTCCATCTGAGAAGTTTTCCTTGGTACCTTGACTTGGGAGGCAGCCTGGAAGTTAGAGAACCGGGTTTAGGCTCCTTTAAGGGACCCGCGGGAGCGCGCCCTGGCCTTTTGTTTGGGCGGCGGCAGCGCGCGCGTCGGCGTCAACGCATGCGCATGCGCACGGAGGGCGGCCTGGTCGTCGTCGCTGCGGCTGTTGAGCAGCCCGAGTACCTGGCCCGGACTGCCCTTTGCCGCCCAACTTCGGCTCCCACGACTCGGCGCACCCCGGCCCCGCCTCAGCCCTCCAGATCCCTCGCTGCCCGGCTTTGACTGCCTGCCTCCACCGCCGCAATGATGATGATGGCGCTGAGCAAGACCTTCGGGCAGAAGCCCGTCAAGTTCCAGTTGGAGGACGACGGCGAGTTCTACATGATCGGCTCTGAGGTAGCCCGCGGCGCGTCCTCGCCCTCCCAAGGCCTCGGCCCCGCGGGAGCCTGAGGGCAGGTCTGCGCGTCGGGAACGCGCGACTCCATTCATCGCGGCGAGGGAGTGCGCGCGCACGCGCGACGGGACGTGTTTCAGTAGGGCGTGGCTGGCAGGCCCCGCCCCACGCACTCTGCTATTCCGGGTTTCGTTAGCCCTTTTGTTGTGGTTGGGACGTACCCTGCTGCCAGGTCTAGGGCTCCCCGAGGGGTTACTGGTTTCGTGCTGAGTTGGTACAACTCCAGACCGACGCAAACAAACTAGGTGTTTCGGTTAGCCCCTGCGAAACACCCCGTTGGGGGTGATATGTTGGAAATCTCACATGCACCCCTCCCCCATTGGTACATCTGGGATCCTGAGATCGCATGTTGTAAACCCGGGGCTTAGTGAGGGCTCATCCTCATTGTGTTCGCTGCCTTTGAGGTGGGCAGGAGGTGTTTTGACCTTTGTTTACCAGGGAAGAAATAGGTTGGGAGGAGGATGCTTGCTTTTGGGTGGATAAGGCCATCATCCTATTTCATTTGGGTGGATAAGGCCCCAGTTTCTGAGTTAGATCTATCAATAATTCAGAAGCAATTGACACTTTGAATATCTTGGACTAACTGAATTATTACAGGAGAAAGATCCTAAAGATTTTTAATCCGGAATTAGAGCTGATAGCACTTTGTTGAATCAGCTGGACCACTGACATTAGGAAAACCCATCCATGGTAGTTTGTACTAAGTATATTAAGTTTTTCCAGTTTGCCTCAAACTAGCCTGTTTTGGTCTAAAGGCAGTCCCCAGGTAGTGCATATTCCTTTTATTAAGTTATGGATTCAGAAGTGCATATACCAAGCAGTAGTCTCTCATGTAATGAGGTAAGTGCTAACCTTGGAGAGCTAAATCAGTCACAAAATGCCAAGGGCTGCCTTTCCTTGTAGTAGTTTTCATTATCAGACACCAACATTTCATTCCTGTTTTTACAATTTTTGTTGTTTTTCCTCACAGTTGATCATAGTGTGAATGAATTAAGCCTCATGATGGTCACACTGAGGCTTTCAGGACACCCTGTGATTCCTGGCTAGTTATATCAAATTATGAGACCGGCGTTGTCAGCATCAGAACTTTAGTGTTAACCATTTTTCACCAATTTGTATAAAACAGAAAGGGCAGCATGCAATAATTTTTTCATATTATCATGTAAATGCTGCTCTTCAAAGATAGTTGTGCTGGGGAAATGGAGCCAGTGCCTGTCTATCTGCTATGGCTCAGAATGGTCCTCATTAGCCTAAATACAGAAGACAGTTGAGTTTTAGTATGTGTTAATGGGCAGGTTGTTTAAAGAAACCTTTACCTGATCTAATGGGCAAGAAAAGCAATCAATTTGGTCTTGATTCTGAGTATGTGGTACCTCTGAAAAGCAAGCTTTCATTTATTAGGTGGAGCAAATTGAGAAGAAGCATGCAGCCAGGTGGGAAGAATTTCAGGAGACCTGGTTCCAGCTCTGCTATGCCTATGCCTCCCTGTCACTTTACTCATGTGTGTAATGAGATGCTTAGATTAGATGACTTCTAAGATCTCCGTAACACATTTTAGCTTCTAGAAAGTTAACTGCAGTCTTCTCTTTCAGCCCTGTTGAGTGAGAACGTTGTCCTGAGACCCAGCCAGTAGAGACCTACATGGGAGAAGGGAGAGAAGGTTTGCTTTCTGGAGCCTGGCTTAACAATTACCAGATCTTTGGAGGTCTGGGAAAGGTTCAAGATCAGAATGCTGTCTATTGATATCCAGTAGTTCCTGTGACAGCATTGGGTGGATGGCCCCCAGGCCCCTTCCCTTTGGGAAACAGGCTATTCAGAGATATGGGCCAGCCATAGCATCACACCCAGCGCCATGGAGTGGCTTTGGGAAGGCATCTGCAGTTGCAGTAAGTGTGTGTCACTGTTCTCCCTCCATCTGCAGGCAGCTGTATTTACCAAGCCGGAGTCTTAGAACTGAGAGGACCTAGGATATCCCCAAGTCCACACATTCATTTCAGGCAAAAACTGGTTCAGGGAAAACCTGGGAAGGCAAACCCTGGTCTCCTGTATTCTGAAGGGGCCTTGGGAAGGGTCTAGGAGTCCTGGAGCTCTGCAAGACCTTCATGGTAGTAGTGGGGGGTGTTATTGTTAATGTCTTTTCAAAACTTAATGGAAACTACACGTTTACCCTTGGATGGTAACGACACTCAAGCCAAATAACACAGGGGGGTCTGTGCCTACTGTGTGGAGCACGAGTGACTCGCTGTGGTCACCTTCTCTCACACTGTTCAGCAGCTCTGGTTTTGGATCATAGAAATCTTTGATTCATAAAAAATGGAGAAACATTTTTATTAAATAAATACACTATGCTGTGTAGGTAAATGGGACAATAATAGAAGTGGTCCTTTGTGTGGTAAACTTCAGAGTTACTGTGCATTGACAGATGAGTAAGGAGACTCAGAATGGGGAAATGATTCCTGGTCACAGGTGGAGCCAGCACCTGGCACCCAGTCAACTGGCTGTCTCCTGCCATCTGATTCACGTGATCATTTTGGAAAAGTCAGTGAGACAATGAGGTTTCTTTATAAAAACTTTTGGACTAGATTTTTTTCTTTTCATTAAGGAAGTCATACTTTGAGTATTTGGTTTAAGCAAACTGAAGCTATTGTTTGGAGAAGTAATGATTTATATAGCAGTCTGGTGATTGCTGATAAATGCCTTTTAAACTTGCCGGAAAATTCCTTTGGTATCCCTGGTTTGCGTTTTGTTACTAAACAAAGTAACAGGGCCACAAAGGGGAGCGGGGGAGATTATCCTGCATCTGTCTAAAATTATAAGACCTTTTTGGTGTTTATTACATCGTAAAAATATCAAAGTCTAGTTCTTAAGATAAAAGAAAGTCAAAGAGGCCTTACATTTCTGGAAAGTGCCAGACATCCTTAGTCCAAAATCAAAATCACCACAAGCTTCTCAGTGAGCTCCGGGAACTTGGTGAGCTCTGGGGGCCTGCCTCACGAGCCTTGGTCCTGTCATCAGGATGCAGATATTATTGCCCTGCCTAGAGAGGCAGATGCAGACCACATGTGCACTGCTGTTGAACCCTTGATGTCAGCAGAATGTGTTTTTATTGCTGCTGAAAGCCTGGTGCCTGATGGCCAACTCAATGCCTGTTTATCCATCACCTGATCCAGCAGAGCCTCTGCGCCAGGACCCTTCCCTTTTGCAGGGAGATACGACCCTCATAATGAGCCTTCTTGCTTTACCCATAGGTGGGAAACTACCTCCGTATGTTCCGAGGTTCTCTGTACAAGAGATATCCCTCACTCTGGAGGCGACTAGCCACTGTGGAAGAGAGGAAGAAAATAGTTGCATCGTCACATGGTAAAAAAACAAAACCTAACACTAAGGGTGCGTCTTCACGAGGGTTTGTAAACCTGTTTCAAAACCACTCGCTTATGTCATGAAGATAAAACGTTTTCACTCCAGAGTGTCTTCACTGCAGCCCTGACCTTAGTGTGGCAGGGAGCATCCTAGGGACGGGGCACACGTGCAGCTCAGGCGTGGAAGTGGCTCCAGGTAGCCAGTGGTGGTCCTTTGGCAGGTATTTTCAACAGGGCCA